GCCCCGGTCCTAGATGAATTGCCTTTAATTACTGTCACTTCTGCCTGGTCAGTTCCTGGCTTCAGGAGAACCAGCCGCTGAGTCAGTGATACAAACATCTACCCAGCAAGTCACAGTCACGCAACCCAATGCCCGGCCCTGACCTCCAAACCTGCCGGGGGGCCTCCCGTCACAAGGTCCTTAGTGATAAGAAGAAAGAGAATCTCGACCCACAAAGGAACAGAGACCAGGCCCCTGCCCATCTGAGTCACGCCCTCTCTCTTTCAGGACTCACATGCAGCCAAGACTGCCCACTACGGCTCCCTGCCCCAGAAGTCCCAGCATGGCCGGCCCCAAGACCAAAACCCTGTAGTCCAGTTCTTCAAGAACATCGTAAGTGGGGCTCAGGGGAACCCGGAGATGGTGAGGGGGGGTCACGAGGCTGGGGACCCCTCCCCCCGCGGCTGGCGTGCAGCCTCCCTGGGTGTGCTGGCCTCAGACACTCAGCCCTCAGCAGGGACGTGCCCCAGGTCACAAACAGCACTTCTCAACCACCTTGCCCTTACAGACGGCACGCTGCCAAGGAGCCTGCTTCTCCTGAGACCAGGCCCAGGCTGTGCAGGACCGTGAGGCAGGACAGGGGTCAGTGGCTGCCTGGGTCAGGGAGAGAGAGGCAGGAAGACGGAGCACAGGCGTCTGCTCCAGGTGACACTGCGAGGGAGGGACAGACATTTGTCCAAGCCTTAGGAAGTGCGACCCCAGCAGACCTTATACTATTTGGTTAATAGTAATAATGTATCACATTGGTTCCTCAGTGGTAACAAATGTGCAGAGTTAATGGCAGAAACTGCCCAGAGCGTTTGGTAACTCTCATAGGTACATGAAAAATGTACAGTTTCTGCACAATTTTTCCATAGATCTAAAGCTGCTTAACAAAATGAAGTTTATTAAAACATAAGAACAGCTGGGCATAGTGCTGCACACCTATAATACTATGGCTGGGGAGGCCAAGGCAGGGGGATTGCAAGTTCAAGACCAGCCTCAGCAACTTAGTGAGGTCCTGTCTCAGAATTTAAAAATAATAATAATAATAAAAAGGACTGGGCATAATAAAAATAAAATTGAAAATAATAAATATTATATAATATAGGAAATAAAAATAAAAAGTGCTCAGTGGTCAAGTGCCCCTGGGTTCAATTCCCAATACCAAAACCTTAAAAATAAAAAAATGAAATAAAACCAAGAACAAAATGGTGGGCTTCCAATGGTGAGCACCCGACGCAGCAGACACTTTAAGGTAAGACTCTGGTAAGCAACTTCGGGGGCCACGGGCCGGGGGCTTTCCCCGCAAAGCCCAACTGTCACAGGGTGCCTTGCCTCAATGTGTGTCCCACCCTCCCTGCTCATCCCTGGAGCACTTGTAGGCTCGGTCCTCCTTCACCTGGACAGAAATGGGGACGGGGCAACGGTGGCGGGCTCCTGCCCACTGGTGTGAGCCCCTGTGTGCAAACATGGCCAGTCCGACCCTGGGAGAGTGGGCTGCTGAGAGGGAGGGTGGCTCCCCTCAGCCCAGCCTTCTTGTGTGTCTTCCAGGTGACACCACGCACGCCACCTCCATCGCAAGGAAAGGTAAGACCTGGAACACTCCTGTTAGTCCCCCCTGTTCATAGGGCTTCCTGGAAACTCCAGCATGCCCCGAAAGCAGAGGTGGACTCAGGGCTACTCACGTCCACCCCAAAGCCTGGGCCGTGTGGCACCCTGGAGGGAGCTGGCAGACCAGGGCGTGTGCCTCCTTGACCACGAACACAAGCCCAGCAGATGCCCGCACCCTTTCCCTGAGCAGGAACCAGCAACCCTGGGCTGGGACAGAGCTCCAGGGGACCCTGCTGGTCCCTGGAGCCGGATGGACCCTGTCCACCCCCTCGGGGCTCTGCCGTTCGGATTCGGATGCTTGTTTATCAGAATCTCTCTTCCCATGATTGCCATGTCACTGTTTGCTTCTCTTCCTCACACAGGGCAAAGGACTGTCCCTCAGCAGATTTAGCTGGGTAGGTGACACGCATCCCCCTTCAGCTTCTGCTCCCTCTGCTCTGCACAGTCCCCGCGCTTGTGTTCCTTCTCTTTCAGTTGCTTAACAGTCCTGCCTTTTCTTCCTACCCAGACCAATTCGCACACAGCAGTTAACGGTGGCTTCCTCCTGGGGCTGGGGGTGAGGCGTGGTCTTCCCCTCTGGCCCATGAGACCCTGCTGCTCCAGGACCAGGCACTGGGAGGCCGGTGCCTCTTCTCCTGAGGGCTCCCAGCAGAGCTGCCTGGGCCCCCAGGCAGCCCGTGCTGGAGAGAATTCCCAGTTTCCTTCCAGTACCGCTGAGGGGGAGAACGGGTCTCACCAGGTCAAATGGGGAACCGTGGCTGACCTTTAATCCTAAATGTTGAAGTTTATTAAGGAACGATGCAGCTGAGGAAAACTAAAGATGCTGAATCTGGTTCTGTGATTTATGATAACCCATTAACCCACAAGATCCCATGGTTTTGTGTGTGTGTGTGTGTTCAGTAATAACTAAAACTCATACAGAAAGCCGTCCAGAAACGCCTCCTTGGGAATTTTAGGGTCTTTAATACCAACAGCACAGTTTCCATGAAGATTTATAAAATGGTTAATTTGTTCAGCTTCCAGGAAGTGGTAAACTAGTGTCGGAGACTACTTAAAATTCCTACCAGTCTACCCTGACCACCTCTTTGACTTCAATCACTACCGAATATCGGACACAGTGGTTCTTACCTCAAAAATTATTATTATCAGAATAAAATGAAGGCGTAAACACCGACCTGTGGCAGGGACCGGATCTGTCTGGGGAACCAATGAGCCTCCATCTAGTACAGAGCCACCTGTGCGCTCAATTAATGAGCATCCCATAAATGAGTTTCCAAAAAGTATCAAGGAAGAAGAGCAGGAAGAAAGGCAGCCCAAGGAGGCGGCAGGGAGCATGACCAGTGGGAGAAGGAGCAGGGCTCTTGAAGCTCTGGGACATCCCAACTCTTCTCACCCTCAAGGACGAGCAGAGACCTCTGCCGGAACCTGTATGCAGACAGCTGGGGCTGCCTCTGGGCTTCTAATGAGTTTGCAAAACAGGTGATGCTCACGTGGGAGATGACCGTGGACCAGCTCACAGCTGATTAATTTTGATTTTCTGTGCCAGCAGGAGATGAAGATGATGTTGAAAACTGAAATCATCTTCGACCCAGAAATTTGGAGCTAGCCACTGCCTCACCTGCTCTTACCTTCTAGGCGTGGACTGCCGGGTGCCGTGCACACCATCTCTGGAGGGGCCGTGAGGGTGGGAAGACCCCCCTTTTTTCCAGTCAGTCGGAGGCTAACAGCCTCCCTGCCTTCTGCTCTCGGCTTGGTCCTGCTAAAGCTGGTGGAGTCGCTCTTTCTGAAGCAAACTCCCTCTCCGACGTGGTTTGGGGGTGGTTCTCTGGAGCTGTGGGAACGTCTGTTTCCCTGGCTGGATTCCAGACGGTCACCGACGTCTTGCTCGCTCTGCTGTGTGTTTCCTGATAAACTCTAGGTCATGCAAAGATGAGAGTGACCAAGGATTCCAGAGGAGGAGGCGGCAAGCCGATGGTGGGCCCGAAAGCCGGTCTCTGAACTCCGTGCTCAGAGCGCTTTATTTCTGGGGAAAACCACCACAGTGAGACAGAGGACTTAGTGTCGGTCCGGGAAGTGTGGGTTTCTGTCGCTTAACGGTGTCTGTCTGTTTGGCCCAGCACTTCCTAACTGTCACCGTCACGGAGTCTGTGTGTCTGTGGAAACCTCTGGGGTGCGAGGGCGGAGCGGGCTTGCCTCCAGTATGTGGTGCTTGGGCCTTTGTGCAACAGTCCCTGTCCCCAACCCTGCTTGATCACCTGGTGACAGTTTCACCTGAAAGGAGACGCGTGTTCTGGCAGGCAGGCTGAAAGGAAAGGCGCTGGAGAGGCAGCCGTAGGGTGGACAGTGCCTGAAGAGAGGACCCTGGGTCCAGCTTCAGTGCTGCCCAGATCCCTGGAGGTGGCCTTGAAGAGCTGGAACCTTCTGGATCCCATCCTCAAGGCCTCCAAAATGAAGGGACGGTCACATTGGTTCCAAGTCCTTCCTGACACGAGGCCCTTCTGTGACTTTAGTAAAGCACCATGGGCTGATGCTCAGGCTCCAGGGGCAGCCAAGAGGTGGCTGATCCCGTCACTAGCGTCTTGGGGAAGGACGGTTCTCCATTCTTGTTCATAAAGCAAGAGGCAAAATCCTGGGCCCTGCCCGTGGCCCTCCTGTGGGCACAGGCCCTCACCCAGGGGCTGGTCTTCCCACGTCCATGTCCCCGTAGAGCTCACGCTGGCCGTGGGAGCTCCCGTTTGGCCATCCGTGTATTGAAAAGTCTGGGACACGCTGATGCTCTCACCTCAGTGGTCACTGCTACTTCCCACCAGGAGCCGCACCCCTTCCTGAAGTGAGGGGCAGGCTGCGGGGTCCTGGTGGCCAGGGTGGAGGTGTCTAGCCCTGAGCGGCAGGAGCCTGGGGGAGAAATGGCACTAGCCCAGGAGCAAATGAGGAGACCGAAGCAGAGACTTTCTGACAGCAGCCTCAGGTCACCTAGCTAGAAAGTGAGGTCGCTGCGCCCCCGCCTGCCATCTGGGGGCCACTGGCTGCCCTGCCCTCTGCCCGCAGCCAGGGCTGACAGAGCCTGGGCCAGGCCACGCGGTGGCCAACGAAGCTGTCTCCTGACTCCCTTGGAGAGCTCCCTCTGCACCAGAGACTTGGGGAGTGTGTCTCTGCCCTTTAGAAAAGGGATGAGCCTCAAAACCTCACTGTGTGCAAGGACTCCGGATCCTCTCAGGCCTGGACCCAGGCAGACTGTGGGGACAGGCCTGTGCGCTCTTCTTGGTGTCTGCGAGGTGCCGCAGGGACCCTCCCTGCACCGGGGCAGGCCGGGTGCTGGCCGTCTTCTCCTCAGGACCCCTAGCATGTAGGAAAGCAGCTGCACCACGGTGGCTCTGGTCTGCCAGATCATGTGCTTGGGCCTCAGACCAAAGCCTGGCCAAGCCAGAGCCCTGTCTGATGGACTTGGGGACAGGCACCTCTCCGCACCTCCATTCTCAGCTTAGGGCTGACCTGCGACTCCCCAGCCACTCGCCAATTCCACCCGGTGGCCTGGGTCCTCCCCTGGTGCGCCCCGGTGGCAGCTGTGAGTGGACACTGAGCTCTGGTCTTCTCTTGCAGGGGGCCGAGGGGCAGAAGCCAGGATTTGGCTATGGAGGCAGAGCTTCTGACTATAGATCGGCTCACAAGGGATTCAAGGGGGCCCACGACGCCCAGGGCACGCTTTCCAAAATCTTTAAGCTGGTAACGTAACCTTCCTTCCCTGGGGACGCCGGGGCCTCCCCACTGGGAGGCAGGGGCCTCGAGCTGCACACTGTTCACAGTGCCCCTTCCCTGGACCCCGAGGGGCTCAGGCCAAAGCATGGCCCAGCCCAGAGGCCAGGAGCCAGGAAGAGCTCGGTGAATAGACAAGTCACTTCCAGAAGCCCCAGCTAGCTTGGCCAAAGGGTCACGTCCACCACCAGGGCCCCCAGGCACGCTCTTCCCAGAGCTCGGGGCAGGGGGCAAGCTGGGCCAGCGCCCTCTGCCTTGCTTCCTGGGGAGTCAACTTGGAGTGAGCTGCAGAAGGCACAGGTCGGTTTAAGACACGGGCTTTCCTGAGGCCTCCCTGTGAGCCAAACACCGAGCCAGGATGCCGCTGACGTTGGGTGTCAGGTGGGACAGCTCATCTCCGGTGGCAGCTGAGCCATGACTGAAGCCCCTCCAGGAAGGGCTGTGGCTGAAAGGCCCTGGGCCCGTGGCATCAGGGGCCATGCCAGCCCGCTGTCCCTGAGCCTGTGGCCGTGGCCCCCACCTCTGAGACTCAGTTTCCTCATCCATGAAAGGGGTGACGTCCGCGCACCTCTGCACCATCATGGAAGCCAGCCACAGCCAATGTGACACCGCTGGAGGGGCCGTGGCTCCCCTGTGGACACTGATGACGGCCGTGGGGCCCAGGTGCTGCTTCAGGAAAACCGGGCAGAGCGCAGACCACCCAGGGGCCTCGTGGAAGGGTGGACAGGGCAGCTACGGCCCGGGAGAGCCTCTCAGGGCACTCTCCTGGGGCTTTGGGGGCCATGGTCAGGAGGCCTACAGGGCTCCTTCCTGCGGGCAGCGCGACCACACCCCCAGCCCAGGCCTTTACCCTGAGCCAAGTCCCGAGCTGCCCCATAAGGACATCTGCCCTCTGGGGTGCCTGGTCCTGCCACATCCCCAGAGGTCTGCAGGCAGGACACGTGGGCGCAGCCCTGGCTTAGACAGGACAGGCCTCCGGGACATCAGGCAGCACCAGGGCCCACAGCTCTGAGACGAAGGGGGATCAGCCTCACTGCCTCCTTCCAGGGCCTCCTCGACCTCTCTGCCCGTCCAGAGGAGGAGCTGACAGGGAGGGACCTGCCTCTGCCCAGCTCAGCCACCCTGCACTTCAGGTCTCAGTGTGGAGAGGGCTCTGTCTGGCCTCTGTCCATCCAGGGCCCGGGGAGGTCACAGTGACATCCAAACTGAAAGGCCAAGGTCCTCTGGAGAAGGGGAGTGTCCTCAGCTGCCTGGAAGCCAGGTGCTCTGACCTGGGGAAAGGGACAATCCAGGACCATCACTGCCCGGAAGCAGTGGCCTCACAAGGAAGCCACATGACCTGGGCTCCTGGGCCTTGAGCCGCCCAGCTGGCCAGGGGCTGTGGACCCAGGCTGGTGCGCATCCATGGACGGGGCAAGGGTGCCAGGTGTGACCCTGTAGGATGCTCATTCAAAGCACCCACCATGTGCCTGGTGCCCGGATGCCCACCTGAGCAATGCAGAGGAAGCAGCGCCTGGGCAGAGGCCTTGCTCTAGAGGTGCCCAGTGGTGTAGAGCCAGTTAGGGCCCCTCGGGGGACGGCAGGGCAGCGTAGGCAGTGGTCGTGTTCCGCAGGCTGGGGAGCGGGCCACAGTGCCCGTCGGGTGCCACAGAGGACCCCGCAGCAGGAACACTTGGCAAAGACCTGAAGGAGGGCAGGGACAGGGCGGGAGAAGGCCTCGGGGGCTTGCAGGAGGACAGCAGCAGGTACCACGTGGCTTGACCATGACCGTGAATCAGGCACCGGGCTCAAGGATGGAGTGACAGGTGCGACCTGAATTTTAGTGTTGAAATGACGATCAAGAGTTTCTGGCTAGGACTAGTGAGCATGGTGGCAGGAGTGGTGGCTGGACTGGGGTTCTCTGGCTGGACGAGGGGAGGCGGCCTTGGGAGTCGCACAGCGGCACTGGGAGGTGACGATCGATCGAGGCGAGGTTCCAGCAAGACTTCACATGGTGCCTTCTGGGTGAGACCCAGGACCTCGGGGACGCTGATGGAGGCGGCCCAGGCCATGCTGATCTCGGTCATTGCCAGAGCGCCTCTCCTCCCAGCCCCAGGCGGTCAGTGACCCCAGGCGGCCAGTGACGGTCTCTGTCACAGAAGAAGCCTTGTCTCAGTGATGGCCCGCCCGCTTCTCCATGGGGAATCGCCTGGACCCTTCTGCCTGTGATCTGTTTTCTCAAGCAAATGAGGGTTTAATCATCACGCCATGATGAGCCAAGCCACGCAGTAAGGAGGCAGAGGCCAGGCCACTTGGTCTGTCATGACAGGAAGCCTAGAGCCCACGATGCCACTGTGCCCTGAGAGACCCCTTGCATCTTCTTGGTGAAGGACTAGCGTCGCTGCAGGACTCTCTGAAAACAGGAGAGGACAGCCTTGCGCGGGGGTCGGCTGGGCGCCTGCTCTTGCCCCTGGCCACAGCGCCCACGCCGGGGCTGCGCGGCTCTCCCTGTGGTGTCTGGGGACGACGGCGCCTGGATCCTTCCGCCTGCAGCTTTCCACTCTGTGCCTCAGGCCAGAGGTGGCAGCACGTCGGGGAGGTGGGATTTCACAGGAGAACTGAGTACCGTCGGCACGGCTGCCCTGGGCATCTCTGTTGGGCTCGCCCAGGCAACTTGGCCCGCAGAAGGGGTCCTCTTGTGTCCCTGCTGAGGTCTGTCAGCTTGGAGGAGGGACCATGCTCTCCCTTGTCCTGCAATACTGAGTCCTGGGAGGGCTGGCCCCTGCACTCATGTCGTCGCCGGTGGGGACCCCTCTGGCCTACTTCCCTGTGCCCCTGACTGCCTTGCGGAATCATCAGGTTTCACGGTTTGTGGTGTGACAAAGTGCTCACCTAAACTTTAACTCCATGTGTTCTTTGAGTTGTGTGTGTGTTAGGCTCCGTCCCTGGTCGGAGACACAGCAGGGCCACACAGTCCCTCCATGTCCCTGGTGGGTGCATGTGTGCATGTCTGCCCTAGCCCAGATGCTGGAGGGTCCTGGGACGTGGACAGGTCCTATGCAGCATGGCTCTGTCCCTGGAAAGCCCCAAACCCACAAAATGAACAGAAGGTAATTGAGCTGCCGCCTGGTCGGCCAGGCTCAACATGGGCCAGCTCCGCCCCTCAAGATGTGGTCTGAGGTGACCAAGTACAAAAAAAAAAGACTCCCCAAACATTCGAGCCAGAGGGCCATTCTGATGTGCTCTGCCTCCGCTATAAAATGCTGTGACAAGAGAGTGCCCGGCAGCCACTCCTGTGAGTGACCTGGAGGCTCAAGCCAGGAGGACACCTGTCCTGAACCCTCTGACACCTGGTTCATACCAGGGCTCCCCCAGCTGCAGCGTGTGGGGACACCTGAGGGCACAGCAGCCTCGTCCCCAGGCAGCTCCTGCGTACCAGCTCAGCGAGGGTCAGGCACACTCGGTGAGTCAGGGCTGGTGACGCTGCCCACCCAGAGGCTCTACTTGGGACACCTGGTCCTGCTCCTCAGGGACAGGTGCAGGGGCCTCCTGGTTCCTGCCACATGCTTGAGAGTCAGAACCGGTTGGGGCCACCCCAGAACAGTGTCCACGTGGGGCTGCCATGCCTGTGTGTGGGTGACACAAGTGTGTGAAATGTGTGTTTTCCTAAATAGGTTCAAAACTCTCCTCAGATTCTTTTTGAGAGCAGCTGAAATGTTTAAATTTCTGGGTAGTTCAGGGAGGCTTTGATTTATCAAACGTAAATACTTTTCAATTAGTGTGGTTGTGATTGACTTCTGCGACTAATGCTCCTAACTGCCCACTGTGGCTGGGCGGCTGAAAGACCATCACGGAGCCAAGAGAGTGGACCACATGAATGTCCCAGCGATGAGGAGGGCCGGAGGCAGGCAGGGCCTGGTGGGGACCGGGACACTCACTATCTCTTTCCTACCCTCCTGGACTTGGCAGCAAGAGTGCCCAGGAGGGCCGCCTCAGTCTCTAGGCCCAGCAGCTGGTCAGCAGGTGAACCAGCCCAGCCGACTCCTAAGGTTGGCGTGGGGTCTCGGGGGGCTGGTCTCCCCTAAGCTGTCACCTGCGAAAATAAAACTGCTTAGACAAGCTTCCAATGCAGAGTCCTATTACAATGCACAGAGCCGAGAAACGAGGCCGCTCGTCCTGAGCTGTCCACCCTGACTGGCACACCCCTGGCCCCGTGCCTAAGTCACCCTCTTGCTGGGCACCTGGGGACCAGGTCCAGACTGCTGTCTCCAATGCTGGCCTGCCCCTGGCAAACAGCATGCTCCTTGAGCCTTTTGCTTTTCTGGGGACAAATGAAATCTTTGAGAGATCAATTTTCATGCACCATCTAAGATTAAAAACAGAAAGCCACAGAGTAAGAGCAAAAGTTGAGTGAAATTTGATCATTTAAAATACACACACACAAAGCAGTGCGGTCCCCCAGGTCTGTCTGAATGGCGCTGAGTGCAGTGTCCCTTCTTCAGGGCCCTCGCTTCCCTCACGCTGTGGTCACCGCAGGCCTGGGCTCCCTCTCAATCCGAGTGCCAACCCTTTTTTCCTTCATATGGCGCGTGTTGAGATGGCTCGTCGGGCAGGGTGGTGAGATCCTGTCGGTCAGGTGTGAACACGCCCTCTGTGCCGTTGGCCTGCCTGGGTGTGGCAGAAGGAGCACGCGGAGCGCCAGGCCCCGGAGCAGCCACGGCCAGGTGGCGTTTCTGGTGCACCCGGCGATTGCTGCGCTCACGGGCACTGCAGTCTTTCCGTCAACGCAGCCACCCCTGTCGTTTCCAATCGCCCTCGGTCTCCTGGACTCCAGGCTGAAGAACTGAAGTGCCCACTGAAGGCAAAACACTGTGGCCATGGACAGAGGCGGCTGAGGCACAGCGGCCGTAGTGCCGAGGGGTGGACCAGCACTTGCTAGAGGAGGCGCGGGCGATGGAGGCGTCCTCTCCTGCAGCACCTTTCTTTCTGGCACAGGGTGCCAACACGAGCATCTCAAGTGGTCTGTGATCAGGTGACCCCAGCAGTGGGGCAGCAGCAGGGCTCTCAGCTAACTCGTGTCTCTTCCTTTTCCCAGGGAGGAAAAGACAGCCGCTCCGGATCCCCCATGGCGAGACGCTGAAGCCCTGCCTCCTTGTTCCAGACCCTGTCCTCCGCTTCTTAACCTAACCGCCTTAAACCTTAATTCCATGTGCATGGACTAGCTAGTTAGAGCAGACCACCCTCCTAACCCCGTGGAGCTGTGCGGGCAGCAGGCCAGGCACTCGGCACCCACTGCCCATTTCTGACCCCTAGTTAAATGCAAAAAATGGAAACAAAAAAGTTCAAAACTGTCACATTTCATTTAAAGATGAGCTTCCTCGGGGTCTTCGCTGCCCTGTACGTGGCCCTGAAGCTTAGGGGTCTGCTCTCTGTAGGTCGAGGCCCGTGGTGTCCCCCTGGTTTACCCAACTCCACCCCTAGACTTTCTTTTTGCCGGGATAGCGCTGCCCCTTGAAGCTTTCGCCGCGGGCACTGCCGTGGAGCCAGAGAACAGGGCGTGGGACTGTTGATCCGAGCTCCTTGGTTTCCTTCCCCTGCCCTCTCCCGCCTCCTAAAGCACCCTTTACGTTTCCTAACAGGATTAGACAGTCCAGGAGTGGCTTACTACACAGGGAGTTTTTGGTACGTGGACGCAGGCTGGGCAGCTGAGAGAGACCAGTGTGGGGCGGTGCAGAGACGGGGGCGCCTCCAGGCCGGCCCCCCACACCCCACCTGCAGAATCCGAGCGCGGCAGAGGGAGGGAGAGGAGGCACGCGGGCTGGCGAGGGCCCCAGGCAGGAAACGGGAACTTGGGGAGTCAGGCACTGGGGATGTCGTGCAGGTGGCCCCGGAGCAGCCACTGTGAAGAGCTGCTTCCTCCCCAGAGCCCAAGGAGAGGCAGGAGACTGTGCATCTCAGAGTGCGACTGCAGGAGTTCTCTGGGCGGCCTCACAGGGTCACTTCGGCCACTAGCATTGGGCGTGGCCAGCGTGGCTCACACTGGCAGTGTCCATGGGCACACACTAACCCGCATGAGAATATAACCTTCCCCTCGTTCCCCGCCTAGAAATGCCCGTCCTCTGGGAGTGTGCCCGTTCCTGAAGGACTAACCTGACGCGGGGCTGGCCTGGCCGGCCTCGGGAGGAGGAGCTCTGCGCACCCTCCTGCCCTGCCCTGCCCACTCCCCTCTTGATTTAGCTTGTCTTCAGACCCGTCCCGAGCCCCACACTGGCATCACCTCCTGTACAGCAGAGACAGGGAGGAGCCCGATGCCCACCTGTCTCTTCTTAATCCCACTCTAATTCTGAATGCTCAGTGTGGGTCTATCTAATGCCTATTAACACCAGCCTCCGCCACGAGAGGGTAAGAGAGACAGCAGCCCCATCCCTGAAACAAACCCTCCAACGGTCCCCTGGAGCGCTGACCTCTCTGGGCAGTGCAGGCTGCGTGACCTCCATCCATGGCTCTGTCCACTCAGCGGGTGCCGCGGAGATGGGGCAACGGGGACCTCATTCTTGAATATGGAAATAAAATAATGCACTTGCAGCCGTCTTTGCCCGGTGTCTCATTTCGTGTTCTGGCTCATGGAGCACAAGGCTCACCTCGGGGCCAGGGCAGCGCTCACCCCAGGGGTGCAGTCGGAGCCTCTGACCCCTCAGTGGGGTGGATGGCCAGATGCCACACCTCGACAATCAGAGGCAATGCCCGCTCTCAGGAAGGAATTTTCAAGGCGTTGAAGAGAAGCTGCTAAAGTTGGTCTCCGTCCTGCTGTTCGCCAGCGTGAGAGCCCTGGGGATGTGGCCTGAGGAATTCTGGATCATATACAGTTTCCTGGGCAGAGGGAAGTGTTTCCCAGACTGCATTAAGGGATTTCCTCTTTTTCCGCTCACAGTTGCCTTTGGTTATAGAAATTCTATTCCAAAAAGATAAACCAGAATCCCTTTTGGGTAGCTTCTAACAGAACCGGGGTTCCTTTCTCTGCTCAGTCGGGGCTGTGAGAACTGGCTGCACTCAGGAACTGCGGGAAGGAAACCCACCCAGAACGAGCGTGGATACCACAGCCGGTGTTCTGGGGGGCATGTTGCTCCAAGTGCAAGGACCTTAGGGTGCCGAAGGCCACCATTTGGGGGTCAGGACACCTGAGCCCTGCAAGCGCTGTTACACTGACTCAAAGCCCAATGTCCACTCTCCTCCCTCTTCCCTTCTGTACACAAACCCTTCTGAATGTGAGACTCGAAAATCACGCAAAGATGATTACATTTTAAAATCTTGTGCTCTTTTACTTGGTGAGTCTATTTTAAAGTCACAAACATTCCCCTCCTAGAAATGACCCAGAGGGTAAATAAACCAAGGGTATATAGTACAGTAAGGAAGCACTACATGACCATGCAATATTCAGGTAAATATCTTAAAGCAAAATAAAAACTGAGCCATTGAACGTGCATCAAGACAGGTCTGCGTGCTTCTCCTGAAAGCTGACAAAAATCCATTTCCAGGCTGAGTTCTGTGAGAAGGGTTCCAGAACCTTCCTCACGGACGCGGGTGCTCTCCTGCGGCACACAGCTGGCTTGGGTCTGCTGCCGTGATCTAGAGATGATGGGGGCATGAAACTGCACATCAGAATCAGCCCCGTGGACACCCGTCCTCAGGCCGCACAGCCTCCCATGCTGCTTAGTCCCCAGGGGGAAGGCCAGCCTCACAGCCCCGGGGCGGGACACGCTCAGGAGCGAGTGGCAGAGCCCAGGGGTTGGGCTGTGGGCAGCCAGGCCCAGAGCAAGTGGCTCTGGAGAGAGGGTGGAGGCTGGGCCAGGCTGGAGGGGACCTGGCTCAGAAGACGAGCACGCCCACCTAGTGAAGGGGCCTTCCTTCATAAACTGGGCCCTGCACAAGACACGGGGATTGGGAGACCATGAGGAAAGGGGCTGAGGAAAAGCTGCTCGTCACGATTCACTAACACGAGGGCCAAGCCATCTGTTAGCTCTCGGTGTTGGCTGGCTCTGCCAGGGCTGCCAAATCAGAGCGCCAGAGGCCAGGGGCTGAAGCAATGAAGTCCTAGGCTGTCACCATCTGGAGGCTACAAGTCCAAGGGCCAGGTGCTGGCGGGCGGGTTTCTGGTGGGAAGCCCATCGGTGACCAAGACAGGCGCGCCCTCTCCCAAGGACACCAGCTCTGCCTGGCTACCTTTCTCAGAGGCTCCTCAAGGTCCGTCTCTACAGGAGGCGCGCTGGGAGTTAGAGCTCCAAATCCTGCATCTGAGGACAAGTCAGTGCACAACGGGTGCCTGTTTTTCACCTGCAACAAGTATTTCCTAAACCCCACGCGGAAGGATACTAAGAGTAAATCCCAAGACCCTGCAGTATCAGTGCTTCTTTTTCCAAAAGGGTGATGTAAAGTGAATCAGCGCATTTTTCTATGGTGGTCTCTCTCAACAGTGAACAGTTACTGGATTCCAGATGAATCGAAACCAAGGTGGAACCCACCAGTGCGGTCCAGGCTGTGCTTCATCTGTCATTGCGGTTTCCGAAATGCTCTGGCAGTGTCTACACTGACGCCAAATCAGTCCTCTGGTTCTTCCACTGGACTCACATGCTGGCACGGGCCTCCCGCACAGCTCGGAGGCAGGGTGGAGGCCCCTGGCTGAGTCTCTTCTGCTCAGCTCTCCCTGCTGTGAAGCAGCACACACATGCTGCTGGCTCCAGAAGCTCACAGCCTCCTGGGACTCAACAGAGGGACAAGACGGAGCATCTGTAGAGCAATCCTGCAGCTAGACCCAGCACTGGCCAGGTCCTTCCCCGTCCCAGCCCATGCCAGCCTCAGGAAGCAGAACCTGCCAACAAGGTGACCAGCTCAGCACCTGCCACACTCAAGGGCAAGGCCCCAGGGACAACCTGAGCTGCATGGCTGCATGGTCTCCTTGGGACACTTTCATCCCTAACTTACAGGCCAGCTCCAGGGCAATGAACAATGAAGGCCGTGGAACAGCAGGGCCCCCAAGTGCTTGTGCACGAACAGAAGGAGACAGCTCTCTCCCCCTCCCGGGGGGCCATGGAGGCTGGGCCCAGGCTGAGCCAAGGGGCCTGAACAGGGGCTGACGCGGGAACTGGAGACAGACGGCAGGAAAAGGCCAACAGAGCTGCCGGGGGAGAGGGGAGGCAGATGTGGAAGGGGGCTGGGGGACTCTGTGTTGGCTGGGACGAGGGGCGCCTTTGTGGAGCAGATGATGTCCCTCTCCAGATTTCCCCAGCGCTGCCCGCTGGTTAGATGGCAGGAAGCACACCCACGATTGGCCTGGGATTCTGATGACTCTACAAAAAGGAAGTAGGGCTCCTGGGAAAGATGGGTGACCTCAGAGCTGGGGAAGAACCATTCATTGGGCCAGAAAGTAAGAAAATACTCAATCACATGGCCAAATCAAAAGGCCCAAGCAGCGGCAGCATTGTCCATGGCTACCCAGCACCAGGAACCCAGGCAGTCAGGCCCAGGGGCTGCGTGTGTCACCTGGAAGGCAGTCCCCTGCCGAGCTTGGCTAGACCAGGGGAACCAGGGACCGCTTGGCCAGGGTGACTGAAGCAGCACGTAACTCTGTTAACACAGTTAGTAACTCTTGCTTGGCCCTGAGAAATGGAAACGGAAACGAGTTTAGTGGTGGAAAGCATCACGTGAGGAGAGTGTGTACTTTCCGTGGGGACTGATTTAACGTTCCGAGGTACCAGACATCACGGGAGGCTCGGTGTGGAGTAAGCCAGTCACATTTGTGAAAACATTTCCACTCACGTTGTGACCTGAGCCAGGGACGTCTGACCCAGAACCTGGAGTGAACGAACCTCTATCAATAACCCCAAAGGAGCTTTGGTCCCACCCCCACCTCCTTTGTCTCTGGTCCTGGGCACTCCTGTCCTCTGCCAGAACCCCAGGAAGCAGCTGGCTTTCCTGGAGAGTGCAGCACTCTGAGAAGGCTGAAGGGCAGAGAGGATCCCAGACGGGCTGCATAACTGGGCCCCTGTGAAAAGCCCCCCCAGCACACTGGGACCCATGTGAGCCCAGGCTTCCTGAAGACAGCGGGCTGAGGACGGAGTCTGCCCACACTGGCCCACAGCAGGCCTGCTCCCGAGTGAGGAGCAGAGTGGTCTCAGGCATGGTACTCTTCACGTGCCACACAGGCAGGAGGGCAACAGCAACCCAGACTCCCCACGGCTGGCCGGCCGTGTGACACACAGCAGCCCAGATCCCACGCTGTCTCCAAGGGGGAGAAGCTGTGAGCCAACTGCACTGTATCTCCAGAAAGCCAGCGTCTGCACCCTTGTAAGCAGTACGCTGGCATCCTGCCCACTTGCTCGCAAGCACCCTCTGAGCGAGAGGGAGCATGGTTGTCCCTAGCAGGAGGCCTGGTGGCCTTGCCACACAGCCACCCTGCTGCACCGCATGGACCCTCGCTGGGCGACAGCCAGAGAAAACCACCAACTCCAAATGGTGATCATTTGCCCCAAACCCCAAGAAGCAAATATAAAGGAGGTTTAAAATAATACAAAAACTATCTTTATTATTTTTAAAAGCCAGCACAGTGGCTTTTGGCATAACTATGCATTTCTAATACAAAATTGGATTAAATAAATATCATCCAATGTATAAATAGACCATGAGACAATTCCGAAGATAAAAAGAGGACTCTTCTGTAAATTAAAAAATTAAATTTTCTTCAGTGGTGACTCAAGAACAATCACTATGGCATTTTAGAACTTGTCAAATATAATACAAAACTTGATTTAATACAAAAGTCTTCATGCTGTAAAGCGTTACACATAGAAAAGATTAAATAGCAAAATCTTTTATGATCACTGCCTATTGCTGCTGACATTGATACTAATGATTTTTTTTTTTTTTTTAGTGCTTTAAATGCTTATTAGTCATCCACTAAGAAACCCCCAGGTGCCTTGGGAGGCAGTGGGCGAGTGGACCGTGTGTCGGAGGAAGGGGCAACTAGGAGCACAGAGACCACGTAACGGTGGCTTCGTGCTCACCGAGGTGAAGAAACGTCACTGTCAGGGGGTGTGCAGGGCTTCTGGCCTCACGAAGCTCTGCTGACCCATTACCAGACAATGCAAAAGACGTAACCAGATCTCAAAATGCTGCTTTCCAGGGGCCCAAGCAGATATGTAACACTAAATTGGGTTATGTATATGTAGGCTCTTTTGAAATTTTACTCTAAAAATCCTAGAGCACCCACATTGCATGAATAAATTAAGTGTGAAAGAGGGCTCTGGGTCCAGCAGTCTGCCCCCCACTCTGCAGGAGGCTGAGGCACACAGCAGGGATTACCGCTCTTGGTGGGGGAGGGCAGACACCCACTGAAATCAGCTTTGGGAGAACTTAAGAAGCAGGTGGGAGACACCTTCCAAATCAGGACCAGCAAGCAGTTTACACATCTTAAATACTTCTCATAAATGTTATTTACATAAATCTGTGGTGGTCGTTAATGCTGAAATGTGGATCTCCGTGAGCTACGAACATCCTTCTCAATAAGAGAGAATTCCACAGGAAGAACCGAGATCTGC